CGCGCTGGCACCAGCACATCAGCTCACATGAGCCAAGAGCATCTCTCTCTTGATACACCCCCAGCAAAGGATTAACAAACTGGATATACCCCCAGATTCTTCATTGATGGACTCTTCTCTGTGGCTGTAGAGACAGGGCCAGGAGTAATGGTCTCAAACTGCAACAGAGGAAATCAAGGTTGGAGATTAGCAGGAACTTTGACGAGGAGGGTGGTTCAACATTGGCGCAGGCTGCCTAGAGGAGCTGTGGGATCCATCCTTGGAAATTTTCAGGAGCAGGTTAGACAGATATGTGCCTGGGACGGTTTAGTCTGGGATGATCCTGCCCTGAGAAGGAAGCTGGACTAGATGTGACCTCCGCAGGGCCCTTCCAGTCCTATGACCCTATGGCTTGACAGAGGGATGCCTGTACCACACAAGACCCCCAGCTCTGCTCATGTTACCTAGAAAGTCACAAGCACCATAGCGTCAGGTATCCAGGTTGTAGCCGTATTGGTCTAGAGGAAAAGGCAATCAGGACCCATAGTAGAGTTGGTATCTTTTATTAGACCAAGAAGATTTTTGCATTTCCAGAGCTAAGTAGCAATCATCCGCTTCTCACTGATTGATGGGATTAGCTGTGCCAATATAGGGCAGGGGGGCAGCAACATACACAGTGTGCCCTGGTCTCAGCCCCCAAGCTGCATGTTTTAGTCCTGGCTGGAGGAAAACTGCAGCTCTAGGTTGAGAAGGGCTTGCAAGCATGGTCCCCACTCACTTCTCTAAAGCAAGGGTGTCAACCCTATGGCCCACAGGCCAGGTAAGGCCCAGAGGTGGCTCATCTGACCTATCGTCTTCTACCAGAGCTGGACTGGAGAAATCACCCATGCAAATTCATGTGAAGCCCTGGTTTCTACTTGCAGCAGCTGCTGAAGCCACGACAGGTGGAGCCCATCTTATCTAGGGCAAGTCTAACCCACAGGCGCACACACAGCAGGGAATACAGCCCGTGGACCACTTTGTTGGACACCTCTGCTCTAGCTGATCTGCTTTTCTCCCCTCTGAACACGCTCTTCTGCTTCGTGATCAATCAGCCCACAGGTTTCAGGCTGCCACCGAAACCAAATTCCCAGACCCAATCGCAGCAAACAATGGAGGGGAAAAACCCATTTAATGCGAAAGCTTGTAACGTGTTTTCAAGCCAAATATTGACCTTGGAACAGCTCGCCTCAAATCGCCTTCCTACTTCCTTGCCGGCCTTTGCACCTCGTTCTCCCCGTGCTGCCATTTTGCCTTTCTCGCCGATGGAGCCGCAGCTGCGCTTTTGCTGATTTCCATCTGCCCCCGGCCCCATTTCTCAGCCCGTTCTGACAATGTAATTCAGAGCCTTTGATTTTCAAAGAAGCCATTGGCATTCTTGTGCACGCACAGGAAGAATGAGCTATTATTCACCGAAGCCATTCCTTGGGGCCTGGCCAAGGGCCTGGGGATAAATGCACAATGCATTACGCAAGACACTCACCTTGGCACCTCAGCAGACAAGCAAACCGAAAGCGCTTCCGTCTGGTTTTTCTGGAGTAATCTTTCCTCGATCAATTATTAATGGCCCTGTTTCTTTCAGGCAGGCCAAGCCTGGAGACTTGAATAAGCTGCATTTTTTTCCTTCGTTGACATTGCATACGTCCTGACAGGTCCGCTGGGTTTCTGAACACACTCTTCAGCATGTCAGCATCCTTATTTGCAACCGTTGCATGGCTCCGGGCACAGGCCTGGACCCCATCGGGTCACACACTGTGCACACGCGTGGCAGAAATGGGGCCTGCCTCATAGAAGAGAGAAGTCAGGCTGGAAGGGGCCTGCTGAGGTCACACCTAATCCAACCCCCTGCCTGAGGCAGGATGAGCCCTGTCCAAACCAGCCCAGACAAATCCAGAATGTAACCTCTTTAGTACAACTAAATCGATCCTGACACGGCGCACAACACAACACCCACACTTGCTATCTCCAAGGCAGGAGGTAACAGCTGGACACAGACCAAAGAAACCGTCAGCATGGACAATCCTGAACAAAATTATATCTGCCTTGACCCCCCCAGGCAACAGCTCATGCTCAGTCTGCATCCTGGGGCTGCAGGGGAAGGGCAAAGGCATGGGCCCTTCTTGGTGATGTGCGTGGTTTCCATGCTACTATTTTCTCTTGACTTTAGGAAGACCTGACTCTGCTCTGCGGGGTCCTCGTAGAGGCCGGAGAGCTGAGCTGAAAGCCCTTCCATGTGTCTGGGTGCTGAACCACCACCAGGGTTTCATAGTTTCATAGTTGGTCGGGTCAGAAGGGACCTGAGCAGATCATTGAGTCCGACCCCTGCCATAAGCAGGAAAGAGCACTGGGGTCAAATGACCCCGGCAAGGTGTTCATCCAGCCTCCTGTTAAAGACCCCCAGGGTAGGAGCTAGCACCACTTC